TTGCTACAATGTTTGCTGGGATTGTTCCTTTCTTCTTTGTAGTTTTCTGTCATTCTTATGAAATCAAAATAATTAAATGAAAAATGGAAGTAAAGCACACAGAAAATGGTCAATAATAAAAAAATCATGAAGATCATGAAGTTCTAGAGGTCTAAGTTAAGAGATACTAGGCTTGGGCTGGGCTTGGCGGCTCACACCTCTAATCCCAGCACTTTGGGAGGCTGAGGTGGATGGATCACCTGAGGTCAGAAATTCTAGACCAACCTGGTGCAACCATGTATCTACTAATACAAAAATTAGCCAGGTGTGGTGGCACATTCCTGTAATCCCAACTACTTGGGAGGCTGAGGGAAGAAAATTGCTTGAACTTGGGCTGTGGAGGTTGCAGTGAGCAGAAATGGTGCTGTTGCACTCCAGTCTGGGCAACAGAGCAAAACTCTGTCTCAAAAAAAAAAAAAAAAAAAAAAAAGAAAGAAAAAGAAAAAAAAGAAAGAGAGACAGAGAGAGAGAGAGACAGAGAGAGGGAGAGAGAGAGATGAGGCTTACATTCCATAGGCTGGAAATTTACCTAAGCAGTAAGTCAGAACTCAGTTAGCTGGCTCCCTCCCTTCTCTGGGCCCCAGTTTCTCCATAAGGACAAGATGTTTGGACCTACTGGTCTGTAAGGGCCCTTCCAGATATGACGCCTCTGCTCTGCCTGCAGGACATCTACTGTGGGCCACAACCTGTGACCCTCCCTAAGGCCCCAGCTCACCGCGGTCCTCCCTCTCTGCCGTTGCTTCCTCCTCTTCCTGGCGCTTTGCCTGTTCCTCCTGTGCCCGCTGCCGCTCCAGTTTTTTCATCAGCTTGAGATCCTTCCATTTCTTTTTCTCCTCTTTCTCTAGATAAGAGAACATCCTGATTGTCGGAGGAGATAGTTCCCACTCATTGGGTCAGCCTGAATTCTGCAGAGCTGCTGGGTGAGCAGCCAGAGGGCAGCAAGGGGGCTCCCCAGGGCTTCCGGCCCCTGCCTCCCAACTTAGGGTGCTGTAGGACCCAGAGGGGGCACAGTTGGTGTCTTTCTCCAAGGTTTGACTGAGCACTGCTGAGAGTGGTCTATGGGGGGGGGGTGGGCGCAGATACTCCCCACCCTTACTTACTCTGCTGCTTCCATTTTCGCCACTCAATCCTTTGGCCGTGTTCACCCTAGAGAAGGAGTGGGAGGTGTGAGGCTGGTCACACCTGGAGGGGGTCCGCTTGCTCCTCCACAGCCAGCCCATCCACATGGGGCGACAAGGAAGCCAAGGAACCTCTGCAAACTGCTGCCCCAGAAAGCGGCAGGAGGGCACGGACCTGAAACCCGGCCTGGCACACAGCAAGTACTCAAGAAACTGTCGAATGAGTTCCCACAGAAGAGAAAACTGAGGCTCAGGGGACAGGACTGCCCACAGTCGCCCTGGAAGTCAGAAGACATAGCCACGAAAGGACTCCAGATTCAAGATTGCGAGCTGAGTCCCGCCTCCGTAATCTAGCGGGGGCCAGGGAGCCCTCTGGGGCTCCGGAGGGGACGTCGGCGCTGTTCCCATCCCGCAGCGGCTCACGCGGCACCTTCAGGGCTTCCGGCCTGGGATCAGCGGGAAGCAGGAAGCAGAAGGCGCGGCCTGGCCCCGGCGCAGACCCCCACGCCGCTGGTTGTCACGCCTCCACCCTGTTGCCCTGCGCGGTGTCCCGCTGCCGCACTTACCGGGCCGCACGGGCGCTTTCTCCCGCGCTCCGCCATGTTCCGCACCGACCGTCGGCCACGCCCCTGCCAATGAGACTCGCCTCTTCCGGCCACACCTCCATCAAGCTGTCCAATCGGAGAACCAATGCTCCCGGGGGCGTGGCCTGGGAGCCTGGCGGCTCCAGGAGCCCGTAGGCTGGTAGGGGTTGGACGGAGTAGGTGCCCAAATGGTTGGCATTGCGGTTACTGTCCTGAACCTTGGATGGCTGAGAGCTCTCCTCTAAATTCGGACAATTACAACACTCAGACCTCTGCGTAGTTTGTTTTTAAAATTATTTTTTTGAGACAGGGTCTTGATATGTTGCTGAGGCTGGCTGGTTCCACAGGCGTGCACCACCACACCTGGCTTCCGTAAGACTTTATGCATGGGGACCCTCGGGCCTTGAACTGCAGTGTGATTCAGAGCTGAAAATGAGATAATTTAATCCAGGTTTTTTATAGATTGTTCATGTAGAGCTTTTTTTGTTTGTTTGAGGGAGAGTCTCGCTCCATCGCCCAGGCTGGAGTGCAACGGCGCAATCTCAGTTTACTGCAATCTCCATCTCCTGGGTTCAAGCAGTTCTCCTGCCTCAGGCCCTCAAGTAGCTGGGATTACAGGCGCGCACCACCATGCTCAGCTAATTTTTGTGTGTGCGTTTTTAGTAGAGATGGGGATTCGCCATGTTGGCCAGCTTAGTGGAACTCCTGACCTCAGTGATCCCGCCCGCCTTGGCCTCTCAAAGTGCTGGGATTACAGGCATGAGCCACCGCACCGGGCCTCTTTCTCTTTTAATTAACAGACTTTATATTAGTTGGGAATACAAGTGTGAGCCACCATGCACACCTAATTTTTTTCTTTTTGTACAGGTGGTGTCTCACTATGTTGCCAGGGCTGGTCTTGAACTCCTGGGTTCAAGCAATCCCCCAACTTGGCTTCCCAAAGTGCTGAGATTACAGAAGTGAGCCATTAATGATTTTTCTTTTTTTTTTTTTTTTTTGAGAGGGAGTCTTGCCCTGTTGCCCATGCTGGAGTGCAGTGGTGCAATGTTGGCTCACTGCAACCTCAGCCTCCCAGGTTCAAGCAATCCTAGTGCCTCAGCCTCCTAAGTAGTAGCTGAGATTACAGGTGTGTGTCACCATGCCCAGCTAATTTTTATATTTTTAGTAGAGATGGGGCCAGGCTGGTCTCTAACTCCTGCTATGTTGGCCAGGCTGGTCTCCAACTTCTGGCCTCAGAAAAGCCTCCTGCCCCAGCCTCCCAAAGCACTGGGATTACAGGTGTGAGCCACCAGGCCTGGCCCAACTTAGATCTTATACTAAATTTGTTGTGATTTTTTTGACAGGTTTATTTTGTAAGCGTGACTAAGACATTGGCCACATGAGAAAAAAAAAAAAAAACGCAAAAAAACCCCAAAACAAGAACAAGAAAAAGATATGGACCATGTAATTGGGCTCAAAGTCTAGTCCTTCACCCCCCCCACTCCCCCAGGAGCCAGAGATGAACAGGGTGAGGGGCTAAAATCTCTGACCCTGTAAGTACACAGTGCAGAGTGGTTCCATGTAACTAAGAAGATATGCCTATCATTCAGAGACTCCAACGATTTTAGGTTTTTTTTTTTTTTTTTTTTTTTGAGACAGAGTCTTGCTCTGTCTCATAGGCTGGAGTGCAATGGTGTGATGTTGGCTCACTGCAACCTCTGCCTCCCAGGTTCAACAGATTTTCCTGCCTCAGCCTCCTTAGTATCTGGGATTACAGGTGTGCACCACCACTCCCAGCTAATTTTTTTTGTATTTTTAGTAGAGACGAGGTTTCACCATATTGGCCAGGATGGTCTTGAATTCCTGACCTTGTGATCTGCCTGCCTTGGCCTCCCAAGGTGTTGGGATTACAGGTGTGAGCCACCGTAACCAGCCGAGGAATTCTTTACTAGGGGCAAAGACCGAATGTGTGTTTTATTATATGATATGTTCCTATCAGTTAAACATATGATATGAGCCAAACCCATGTGCTTGCTATGCAAGCACAACATGCAATTTCATGAAGTCACAAATGCAACTTCAAGGTAAGGCCTCTAATACCACCTATCCAAGGAATTCAGGAGCTACCACTGCTATCGAGTTAGACACACACTGGGCCAGCTAGAAGGCCTGGGCACATCACTTCACCTTACCTTCAGAATGCTTTCCTCACTTGTGAACTGCAGATAACTCAGGTCTCAGTCTCAGAGGATTAAGATGATGGGCATCCTGGCAGATAGAGCTTGCACAATCAACATTCATTCCTCCTCCTCCTGCGAATTATGTAAGTCCCTGGTCCTCCTAGCCGTCACTGTGCTATTCTCTCACCCCTGTGGGAATGTCCATGTCTTCCTTGTCACAAGCCCCAATCCCCCCCCAACACACACACACGACACCCCTACCCCAGCCACCATACCCAGTACCAGTAACTGCTACCATCAGATTAATATCAGACGCCAAGTTTGGTGGTTCATGCTTGTAAACCCGGCACATTGGAAGACCAAGGCAGGCAGATGACCTCAGATCAGGAGTTTGATACCAGCCTGTCCAACATAGTGAAACCCCATCTCCAAAAAAACACAAAAATTAGCTGGGCGTGGTGGCAAGTGCTTGTAGTCCCAGCTGCTCAGGAGGCTGAGGCAGGAGAATGGCTTGAATCTGGGAGGTGGAGGTTGCAGTGAGTCGAACGTGCACCACTGCACTCCAGCCTGGGTGACAGAGCGAGACTCGGTCTCAAAAAAAAGATTAATAAGGCTGGGTGCGGTGGCTCAAGCCTGTAATCCCAGCACTTTGGGAGGCTGAGGTGGGTGGATCACAAGGTCAAGAGATCGAGACCATCCTGATCAACAAGGTGAAACCTCGTCTCTACTAAAAATACAAAAATTAGCTGGGCATGATGGTGCATGCCTGTAGTCCCAGCTACTCGGGAGGCTGAGGCCGGAGAATTGCTTGAACCCAGGAGGCGGAGGTTGCGGTGAGCCGAGATTGTGCCATTGCACTCCAGCCTGGGCAACAACAGCAAAACTCTGTCTCAAAAAAAGACAAGGAAAGAAAAAAAAAAAAGATTAATAGTGAGGAATTAATTTGGGGGTCTTGGGTTCTAGGCCTGGTTGTGCCACAGTAACTATGTGACTACAGAAACCATTTGTACAAAGTTGGGGGGTGTCTGAGGTTTTCCTGGGCATTTTTATCAAGTTACATCAGCCATCAGCATGAGTGTGAAGCAAAGAGAAGCCATCAGTAAGGATTCGAATAACTTAAACATTTTATTATGGATGAAAAGGAGGACTCAAACCTAAAGGCAACTTCCAAGGCCAAGATGAGGCAGGAAAGGTGAGGTTGTGTCTGAGCGTTAGCAGGGTTGCGACGTGATCAATACATTGTGGGACTCTGCCCTCCGGACTCAGCCAAGCCTTGAGAGACCAGAAGCAACCCAAGACCCTACAAACCCAAGGCACAGGGAGAGGCCCAGGTCAGGCCGACCCTCGCCTCTCAGACAGGAGGCACTTGGTTCTCTACGATGAAGACAGGCGGCTCCCGCCCAGAACATTCTGTGTCATAAAGAGGTTTCCCAATACTGTCTTCCCTGACCTGGACATGGATGAAACATGGACAAAGACAGATATCCAAAGAGCATCCCTGTGGAGACGTGGGGATGTCAGGGCCAAGGGCGTGACTTCAGGGCTAGAGCTCCGCCTTCCACTTCCGCAGCTTCTCATCCATGGCCTGGAGCGTGGCTTCGTCCTGCACCAACACAGAATGGTCTGACCCTCTTCCCATGCGCCCAGGGGGCCTTGGGAAGCTCTGTGAGGTCTTTCCTCCCCCAGTCCCGCCCTTTACCTTCACAAAACAGAAGCGGATATAGTGGTCAAAGTGCTTCTTATGTGGCACACTACAGAAGATGGAGACAGGGATGGCCACCAAGCCCTGGGGAGGAGGAAGGACATGTCTCAACACGGCCTCATGGCCAAGCAGGCCTCAGCTCCGGCGGGACAGAGAGGTTCCCACAACCAACTGGGGAACTAGAATTGGCTCCAACCCAGCACCAAGTGCTGCATCGAAGTCAGAGGAAAAGGGCCGGACGTGGTGGCCTGTAATTCTAGCACTTTGGGAGGCCAAGACAGGTAGATCACCTGAGGTCAGGAGTTTGAGCAGCCAGGACAACATGGGGAAACCCTGTCTCTACTAAAAATACAAAAAGTAGCTGGGCATTGTGGTGCATGCCTGTAATTCCAGCTACTTGGGAGGCTGAGGCAGGAGAATCACTTGAACCTGGAGGGGCAGAGGTTGCAGTGAGCTGAGACCAGGCCATTTCACTTCAGCCTGGGCAAAAGAGCAAAACTCCGTCTCAAAGACAAAAAACAGAAAACAAAAAACTCCCATAAAGTCAGGGGAAAAGAATCCCAGAGTGTCATTCCAAGTCCCTCTCTGGGTATAGAAGGCAGACGGAAGCTGAGAGAAGGAGGATCATGGAGCAGGTCAGGGCAGAACCAGAGAAGAACTAAGCCTTCCAGTCATAGATGGAACCTGGAAGGACCTGAGTTCATGGGCCAGCTCCTCACTGTAAACATGGAAAGATGGTGACCCAATGAGACAGGAAATCCTGCCAGCCCACACCCCATCTCTGTGCAAGTTAGAAACAGGTTCCTCCGGCCGGGCATGGTGGCTCACGCCTGTAATCTCAGCACTTTGGGAGGCCAAGGGGAGCTTGGATCACCTGAGGTCAGGAGTTTAAAACCAGCCTGCCCAACATGGTGAAAGCCCGTCTCTACTAAAAATACAAAAATTAGCCAGGTGTGGTGATGCATGCCAGTAATCCCTGCTACTTGGGGGTCTAAGGAAGGAGAATTGCTTGAGCCCTGGAGATGAAGGTTGCAGTGAGCCAAGATCGCATCACTGCACTCCAGCCTAGGCAACAGAGTGAGGCTCTGTCTCAAGAAAAAAAAAATACAAAGAGAAAGAAACAGGCTCCTCATTGTTTGAAGTGGATGCAACCCTGCTCCAGGGTTCATGGCAGAGGCTGGACTAGGATCTGGCCCAGGAGCCTCTTGGCTGGGCACCCTTGGGCAGCAGACAACCTGTGAAACCATACATGGCAGCCCAGCAGTGGCCCAGCCCACCTTGTTCTTGATCATCCACTTGATGAAGCGGCTGTCATAGGGCTCATCCGCAGCTCCAGGCAGGTCAGGCATCTTCCTCTCTGGGAGACAGAGGCCACACTGAGCCCCCTGCTGCCTCCAGCCCCCGCACCCTGCCCAGACCGGCCAGTCTCACTCACTGAAGTCTGAGATGTCTGTGACGAGGAAGTAGCTGCCCTGGGGGATGATGGGCTTCAGCCCCACCGACTGTAGGCTGCGGATCATGTGGTCACGGCAGCGCTGCATGGCCTGCGGGAACTGCACGAAGTAGCTACTGGGTTGGCCGAAGAGCAGCTGCTCCCGCTCAAAGCTCTCGGCTACTGCAGCCTAGGCACGGCAGACACGCAGATAGATCAGCTGTTCCCTGATGCGGGGGCCAGCCAGGGCGCTTTCGTTGTCCCCCTACCACGCCATGAGGTCTCCTACCTGGCTCTGTGTGGGGCAGTGGAAGATGGAGTTCTGGTGCACAGTCCGCAGGTGCTTCATGATATGATCTGGACCCAGGACCCAGCCCACCTGGAGCAGGAACACCGGTAGGGGATGAGGACCTTCCAGGCCCGGCTTCAGCCTTCCTCACTCCTAGGACCACCTCACCTGCCAGGGATCTTGCAGAGGGCAGTGACCTCCCACCCTCAGCAACTCACCTTCCAGCCAGTGGCGCTAAAGGTCTTGCCGGCGCTGCCAATGGTCAGGGTCCGTTCCCACATGCGAGGGAGGCTGGCTGCCCAAGGCCAAACAGAGCAGCTGCTGAGATGGAGGTGATGGGGGAAGGGAGGGTGGTGGCTGGGGACCCAGGGGACACACAGGCTCTTGACATCCTGGATTCCTCTACACGCTAAGCTATTTGCAGGATTTCTTTCTTTCTTTTTTTTTTTTTTTGAGCAGAGTCTCACTGTTGCCCAGGCTGGAGTGCAATGGTGCCATCTCGGCTTACTGCAACCTCTGCCTCCTGGGTTCAAGTGATCCTCCTACCTCAGCTTCCCAAGTAGCTGGGACTACAGGCACGCGCCACCATGCCCAGCTAATTTTTGCATTTTTAATAGAGACAGGGTTTCGCCTTGTTGGTCAGGCTGGTGTTGAACTCCTGACCTCAAGTGATCTGCCGGCCTCAGCCTCCAAGAGTCCTGGGATTACAGGCATAAGCCACTGCACCCTGCCTAGGATTTGTTAATCTCATCCTTTCCACAACCAAGGAGGCAGGCGCTATTGTGATCCTGTGTACTCTGGGAGGCAAAGGTCACAGGATCTGCAGGGCTCCAGAACACTGGGTTCTAACTACCAGGCCTGTGCTGCCTCCCAAGCGGGGTCAAGTCCCTGCCACCAATGTGCAGGGAAGTGGCTCCGGGCGGGCTCGGCTCACCAATGCTGATGTGCTGGTGCCCATCGTAGACCAGCCACTGGTAGACTTCATCAGTGATGCACACCACGTCATGCTGCTGGCACAGGCTGGCCACCAGCTCCAGCTCTTCCCTGGAGAACACCTGCAGAGGCCCAAGGAGAGCAAAGACCTGCAGCTGAGACCATCCCCAAATGCAGAGGCCTACTCAGAGGTTAAAGAATACAGCTGCAGCCAGGTGCAGTGGCTCATGCCTGTAATACCAACACTTTTGGGAGGCTGAGGTGGGTGGATCATTTGAGGTCAGGCACTTGAGACCCACCTGGCCAACACGGTGGCCTGTCTCTACTAAAAATACAAAAATTAGCTGGGTGTGGTGGCAGGTGCCTATAATCCCAGCTACTCAGGAGGCTGAGGCAGGAGAATTGCTTGAACTCAGGAGGCGCAGGTTGCAGTGAGCCAAGATCACGCCACTGCACTGTAGCCTGGGAGACAGAGTGAGACTCTGTCTGAAAAAAATAGATAAATAGCGAATACAGCCGGGCCCAGTGCTAAGGGCTGTTTCGCACCATCCCATTGGATCCCTGCAACATTGACCCCGTGAAGTCAGTTCTCTCAGGTTCCCATATTACAGATGAGATACTTTGAGAGGCACAGTCACTATCCCAGGGTCACTGGGAAGTGATGGGGGCTCCCAGCCCTCAGGCCTTCCCTGGGGATTCCTGCCCCTCCCTGGACCTCTGGAGCCTGGGTCCTCAGACTCATTGTGCGTGGCCCTCCCACACACAAATGAAGAAACGGAGGCCCCACAGTAGCAACTCAGTAACAATGCGGGAGACATGACCAGGTCTGCAGGGGGCGATGGAGGGAGGTCTCCAGTACCTTGCCCACGGGGTTGTTGGGGGTGTTGAGGACCAGGGCTTTGGTGCGTGATGTGAATTTGCTGGCCAGCTCTGTGGGGTCCAGCTGCCAGTTGCTGCTGGAACCCAGTTCTCCATTCTGGCTGGGACTCTGCAAGAGCAGGTGGCAGAGGGTGGCACCACTTACCCACCTGACATGCAGTTCCTCCCCCAGCATCTGTCCCCACCTTCCCTCCCCTGGGATCCCAACACACACCCCTCCCCTTTGCCCTCCCAGCTTAGGGGAACTGGCTTCCTTCACTTCCTTCCTCCTTTCCCAACTCCCAGAGTCCAACTCAGCCCATGCCTTGGATCCTTCTGCCCATCCACCCTCCGCCCAGCATCCTTACCGGCTTCAGGGACACAAACACAGGGCGACCCCCTGCCATCAATGTCATGGGCTCATAGCAGTCAAAAAAGGGTTCAATGATGATGACCTGATACAAGGGTCAAATCAGCTGGAGGCAGCACGGCCCTGACCTCTCGCTCCCACTCAGCCCACATCTTGCCCACTCACCTCGTCTCCTTCGTCCACCAGCGCCTGGAAGGCTGTGAACAGGGCCCCGTAGCCACCAACAGTTACCAGCACATTCCTGAGCGGGTCTATCTCCTGACCCAGCAGCTTCCCAAAGAAACTTGCCAGGATCTTCGTCAGTGGTGGGTAACCCTGCCAGGACAGCAGGGGTCAACTGCTCAGCTCATCCTGGGCCCATCCTCCTGCCCAGCTGTACCCAAGCAATTCTAGCACCTTCCAGCAGCAGGCCTGGGGGCAAAGTCAGTTACTGACAGCCTGGCTGGTCTTGAACTCCTGACCTCAGATGATCCGTCCGCCTCGGCCTCCCAAAGTGCTGGGACTACAGGCATGAGCCACCACACCCAGCCTTTTTTGAGACAGGGTCTCACTCATGTTGCCCAGCCTGGAATGCAGTGGTACAATTGCAGTTCACTACAAACTCCGCGTCCCGGGTTCAAGCGATTCTCCTGCCTCAAGCCTCCCAAGTAGCTGGGACTATAGGCATGCGCCACCACGCCCGGCTAATTTTTGTATTTTTAGTGGAGATGGGGTTTTACTATGTTGACCAGGCTGGGTTCGAACGCCTGACCTCAGGTAATCTGCCTGCCTTGGCCTCCCAAGGTGCTGGGATTATAGTTGTGAGCCACTGTGCCTGGCCTGATCCCCACTATTTGACAAGTAGAAAAATAGAGACCCAGAGAAAGGAAATTCCTTGCCCAAAGTCTCACATAGTTGAGGGGCAGGAAGCTCATGTTGCAGCTTTGGAAGCATCCCTTTTTGAGAGGAAGATTAGATCCAGAAGCTTGTTTGCTGAGGACACTTATACTCAAGGGTAAGCCAAGTGATCGAAACCTTGTCTAGAACTTAACTAAGTAACTCACTAAACCAGATTTGGCCACATAAAAATAAAAATTTTTCTGTGCAACAAAAGGCACAGGCCAGGCACAGTGGCTCACGCCTGCAATCCTGGCACTTTGGAGAATGAGGCAGGAGGATTGCTTGAGGCCAGGAGTTTGAGAACAGCCTGGGCAACACAGGGAGACTCCATCTCTATTGATGGCAAATCAAAAAAAATTAGCCAGGTGTGGTGGCACGTGCCTGTAGTCCCAGGTACTTGGGAGGCTGAGGCAGGAGGACTGCTTGCACCCAGGAGATCAAGGCTGCAGTGAGCTATAATCACACCAGTCTGGGTGACAGAATTGAGATTCTTTGTCTCAAAAAGTAAATTAATTAAATAAAAATAAAAGGCACCATGAAGAAAGTTAAAAGAGGAAGCGAAAAGCACTGCAACATGAAAGAGGTAAAATATTCAATATATAAAGAACTCTGACAATGCAGCAAGACAGGCCGGGTGCAGTGGCTCATGCCTATAATCCCAGCACTTTGGGAGGCCAAGGTGGGAGGACTGGCCCAGGAGTTTGAGAGCAGCTTGGTAACATGTGGAGACCCTGTCTGTATTTGTTTGTTGTTGCCCAGGCTGGAGTGCAGTGGCGCGATCTCGCCTCAATGCAACCTCTGCCTCCCAGGTGCAAGGGATTCTTGTGCCTCAGCCTCTCAAGTAGCTGGGATTACAGACAGGTGCCACCACAGCTGGCTAATTCTTTTGTATTTTTAGTAGAGACAGGTTTCACCACATTGGGTAGGCTGGTCTCCAACTCCTGACCTCAGGTGATCTGCCTGCCTCTCGGCCTCCCAAAGTGCTGGGATTATAGGCGGGAGTCACCACACCCAGCCCCTGTCTGCATTTAAAAAAAAAAGAAAAGAAAAGAAAAAGCAGCAAGAAAAGGACACATACCCAAATGAATTTTCTTCAGCCCAACCAACCCAAGAAGAATTTTTTTTTTTTTTTTCCTTACTGGAAGGCAATTATTTACTTATTTATTTGTGAGACAGGATCTCATTAAGTTGCACTGGCCTCAAACTCCTGGGCTCAAGCGATCTTCCTGCCTCAGCTTCCCATGTAGCTGGGATTATAGGCAAACACTGCTTCTTAACAATACCCACCTATTATATTTATAAATATTTATAGCCTTTCATTCACTAGTTTTACTTCTAGGAATTTATCTTAAAAAAGTACATATGTCTACAAAGATGTCCACACAGGGATATTCACCATGGCACTGCTGATGATACTGACAGCAGGAGCAGTCCATCAGTGCAGGACTGCTTAAATAAATTATGGCACATCTAGGCAACAGAGCAGCATGCAGCCATTAGAAAGAATGAGGGCATGGTGGCTCATGCCTGTAATCCCAGCACTTTTGGAGGCCAAGGTGGCAGGATCACTCAAGCCCAGGAGTTTCAGACCAGCCTGGGCAACATGGTGAAACCCTGTCCCTACAAAAAATGCCCCCCAAAAATTAGCTGGGCATGGTGGCCCACCCCTGTAGTCCCAGCAACTCTGGAGGCTGAGGTGGGAGGATCACATGAGCCCCAGGAAATGGCAAATCATGTGAGCCCCAAGAGGTAGAGGCTGCAGTGAGCCGTGATCATGTCATTACACTCTAGCCTAGGTGACAAGATGAGACCCTGTCTCAAAAATAAATAAATATATATATATATATATATATAAAATCTTGGTTTGGTGACACACACCTGTAGTCCCAGTTACTTGAGAGGCTGAGGTGGGAGGACCACTTGAGCCTGGCAGAGTTGAGGCTGCAGCGGGCCATGATGGCGCCAGGGCACTCCAGCCTGGATAACAGAGTGAGACACTATCTCAAAAGAGAAAAAGAAAAGAACCATTGTTCTAATCCAAGCTTTGGATTAGATAGATTAGCAGTGGATTTGGTATGTGGTCCTTTCCAGAAAAAGTTTGGATTTAGAGTATAATCCAATCAGTAGCTCGTCTTCCAGGACTTGATTTCAGTGTCACCTCCTCCATGAAGTCTTCACGCATCTCTCCAGCCCCCTCCCCAGGTTTCATTCCCTCCTTCTTACTCCCACAATATCCCACCCTCCTCCATCACTGCACGTATCAACTGCCTGTCATTACTGGTTTCTTGTCTGCCATCCTCACTAGACCACGAGGCACAGGCCCTGGGACAGAGGACACGCTCAGTAAACACTGAACTATGGTCAGACAGAATCCCCTGGCTCTGTCCCCTGACCCCCGTGTGGGATTGATGTCCAGAAAGCCCTGCCCCCTTCCTCCCCCAGTGCCTCCGGGAGAGACAGAGAGACTCACAAACGCCTTGGTGTACTGGTTGAGCATGAAGTCTCTGCTCACCGCGTGCTGAAAGGCTTCCACCGCAAAGTCTGGGGGTGGGAAATCAGGGAAGCCCTGGCCCAAGTTCACGACGTCATGCTCACTGGCCAGTTTGACAAACTCCACCCTGGGTGACAAATGGAGAATCAGTATAGCCCACCATCCTGACCTGGATTTTGGTCTGTTTAGAAAAACTGGACAACTGGCCAGCACAGTGGCTCGCGCCTGTAATCCCAGCACTTTGGCAGGCTGAGGTGGGCAAATCTCTTGAGGTAAGGAGTTCGAGACCAGCCTGGCCAACACAGTGAAACTTTGTCTCTACTAAAAATACAAAAATTAGCCAGGTATGGTGGCCATCCCTGAGTTGCTGTAAACCCAGGGATGGCCAACCCATGCCTGAGGGGACACCCACACACCTTCCCAGCCCAGCTGGCTCACCAGGGGTTGTGGTCGATCCCGTCCAGCCTTCGGGCCTGCAGCTGTTTGGCCATGGTGAGCTGGAGACGAACAAGTGCAAGGTCAGAGATGGAATCTGGGGGCCGAGGTCGCACGGGAGTGCCGGCTGCTTTTAGGTCACAGCCCCACCCTGTCTGATCCCAGGGAGGAGGCAGAGATCAGAGCTTACGGAAGGCAGGGCAGGTTTCTGCCCGCCCTCAAGCCTGTTACCCTCCAAACCCTAGCCTCGCTCCTCCCCACTCCAGCAGCCCCCAACTCTCCAACCTGCAGGGCCGCCTAGCACCTACCCAGTGGAGGCTTCCAGCCCTGGCTCCATGTGTCCTGAGACAGAGCCTGACTTGGCCAGGTTAAAGTCTGACTCAGGACGGGCTGAGGGTTAAGAAAGACGAGCAGGAGGTGGGCAGAGAGGGAGGACGGGGAGGGAAGGTAATGGCAACAGGGACAGCAGCAGCCTCCACTTACAGTGGTCTTGCTAAAGCACGTCCATTTAATTCCCAGAATGACCTGGCCAGGCCCAGCTTATCAATGAGAAAACAGAATGTGGAAAACAGGCTGGAGGGTGCAGGAGGGGAAGTGATGTGTTCAAGGCCACACAACAGACACTCAGATTTAGGCCTGTTGGACCCAAAGCCAGGTTCTAACTCTGACAGAGGCACTAATCCAGTCCTGGGAGGCTCCCAGGGTCCTGGCTCCTGGCTCACCCCTCCCTGGTGTTCCTCCCAGGCCAGCTCCCTCCTCAGCCATGGATGCACAGAAAATGGCCAGGGTCCAGGTGCGGTGGCTCATGCCTGTAATCCCAGCACTTTGGGAGGCTGGAGCGGGCCGATCCCCTGAAATCAGGAGTTCAAGATCAGGCTGGTCAACATGGTGAAACCCTGTCTCTACTAAAAATATAAAAATTAGCTGGGCATGGTGGTACCCGCTTGTAATCCCAGCTACTCGGGGGGCTGAGGCAGGAGAATCGCTTGAACCTAGGAGGCAGAGGTTGCAGTAAGCTGAGAACACACCACTGCACTCCAGCCTGGGCACTAGAGTGAAACTCAGTCTGGAAAAAAAAAAAAAAAACTTAGCTGGGTGTTGTGACACACACCTGTAATCCCAGCTACTCAGGAGGCTGAGGCATGAAAATCACTTGAACCTGGGAGGTGGAGGTTGCAGTGAGCCAAGATCGTGCCACTGTACTCCAACCTGGGTGACAGAGCAAGACTTCGTCTCAAAAAATACACGATGATGAATGGGAAGGTGGGAGAGTATCAGATTTCACCTCCATCTTACCCACCTTCTGCCCCCATAAGCATCAGCATTGACTTCTCTGGAATGCATTTTACTTAAAGTTACATGAAGAGAAATTCTGAATAATGAAATAATTTTCTATTTGCCTGGATGTCTTTTGGCCTGTCAAAAATGGAGCACCTAAGGTCATGGTTATCATTGAACTGCCTATTATCCATTAAGAGCTTCATTTCTACTTGAGCGTTAAAAAAAAAAAAAAAAAAAAAAAAAAAAAAAAAAAAAAAAAA